TTTTCGACTAAGAAGCTTACTTCTACCTCTTCCACCGTTTTTCCCGCGAAAAAAACCGCTTGAGCGCCGTCCAGAACGACGTCAAAAACGTGCATGAGCACGGTAGTTTGAAAATTCGTAACTAAGGCCAGGAAAAGACTGAGAGGCTGCAAAGCATAGATTGTGTAGCACGGTGCCCGGAGTATCCATAGAAAAAGCTCCAGCCCTTGAGGAGCAGTAAGCTCGAAAAAATTTAGATGCGACTCTCGCAAATTTAGATGCGATCCTAAAAAGCAAAAACTGGGATTTTTGAGCTTAAAATTTTGTAACTTACCAGAGAAGTTTTAAAACAGCCTGCAATTTTTATGAGGGAAAGTAGGAAGATGGTCTCATATTACAGCGGAATTGCAGTCAACAAGCTTTAATAGCTCCGAAGAAATTTAGATGCGACTCAGATACGACCCCCCTTTCCTGCTTTTTTGCTATTATACATAAAATTATAAGAAAATCCACAGTTGACAAAATAACACCAAATTCTGCACTGACGTAGCGGAGCATCTCCAAAGTACAGATAAATTATGTGGGCCCGTGAAAAACATTACAAAAAGATGTAGAAAATTATGATGGTCACAGCTGGTAAAGATATTCGCTTTTGTCGAGTGTGTGAGACTTCAGGAGGGCTTCAGAAGCAAGATTTTTAGGGAAATCGGTACATTTAGCATTTTTATCAAATCATACATCCTTCAAAAGTGTTTTGAACTCTTGTAGATGTATTTTTTGAGAATTTCTACAGATTTTTTGTCTTTTTTTATTCTGATTTCCACTTTTTTATAGATTTATTGTAAAGAACATAACTAATTATCTGGTTTTTGATTCCCTTCTAAGCTTAGGCTATTTTAGCCTGACTGCCTTCTCTTACGACCCCCCCCCACCTTAGGTACCCTCTTTACGACCCCCCGTTGCGACAGTCGCATCACAAGTTTGACCCTGCTCCGTGTGTGGGAGGCACGAGAAAGGTATCATATCCTCGAACAAGAAATTTGGCAGTTACAGGCAAGACTGTCTCCAGCGAGACGCCCGGAACATCACTAAAACGGGCGGCAGTGTCGCCAAGCGACAACAAGAAAAAACAAGTAATTATCCGAGGTTTGCAAGATACAGTACTCCCATGCTTGCAAACTTTACTTCAGGCCATTAAAAACAGCGTGGCCTAGTGACTCAAAGTGGCAGCTGCGCCAGATGGTAGCGACGATCCCGACCAAGAGAGGCGTCAGCACATTCGTCATTTATGCTTTAGCTCAAGTATTGCGGCGTAGTCGTGTTTAACAGTTTAGTTCGCTTTAAGCGTAGAAACTTTTAAATGCTGCGGAAAAGGCTTTAATCGCGTTCAACGTTTTCAACCTTCATTGCCTAAAATCCTAAAATTTAGCATGCGCATTTTTGTCTGTGTTTTTGTTGATCTAACCTCCACATCATAGTTCTCATTTAACGATCATTTCACTTATGTATTTTTATATTGCTCACTTATGCGTGCTTTATTCGTGTATTTGTTGATTAGTATTTAGTCAGTAAAGGTTTAATTACCCAAGTATGAGGTGTTGTGTGTGTGGTAAAGTCCCGCGTGGCGTATTTGGCTTGTTGGTATTCACACAAGTGGTATTCGAGGCTTATCGTGTCCTAATATCACTTATCGTCACTAATTTATCTCACGTACACCCAAAATTTGAGTTACCGAATTTCCTAGATCTTTCTACACCGTGGGCCTGGGCCCAGAAGAAGGCCAACTGCGTTGGTCCGGTCTCCCAATGTTGCTTCTGAGCGGAGAAAACCCCCCTCAATTTTCTTTCACGCCGCCCCTTTTCTTTCGCTCCGCCTCCTCCGGACAAATCCATAACAGCGTAAGCTGCAATTGCAGTTGCAGTTGCTGTTGCAACATCTGTTGCATTTGTTTTGGGTGTACGCTGCCTTTAAGTACCGCCGCCAAATTTTTTCACAAATTACGAGTGGTATTGTACAAGCTGCTAATGGTACATCATTTTTGGATGAACAAAGTATTCGCGCCAGGGTCAAGCGTGTGATGCGACTGTCGCAACGGGGGGTCGTAAAGGGGGCCTACGGTCAGGGGAGGGGGTCGTAAGAGGGGGTAGTTTGGATAAAAAACCGTACGATTGAAAGCAAATCAAATGGCAAGTAAATATTACATGTTCTTAACAATGAATTCATGGAATGCCGTGTACTAATGTATCAAATAAAAACGAGTGAACAGTAATTTGAAAACATTCGCAAGCGTAGGAATTCGCTTCATTTGCTGCACTTTTGAAAGATTATGACTTATTGTTAGTTCTTTTTTTATGGGAATCGCTATCTCTCCCGCAAAATATTGTCTCAAACGGGAATCGAACCCTGCTGGCATGACTAAAATCCAAAAAATAAACATTTTCAGAAGCTCAAATGCTGCCAAAGGCATGTATGTGTGATAAAGATGTTGGACGTACCGATCGGTGTAGACATTCTGCTTCCGAAGGCTCACTGAAGACTCGCACACTCGACAAAAGCGCACATGTAGATCAACGATGACAATCAATAATTCGTAAATCTTTTTGTAATGCCATTTATGCAGCCCTTACAATTTGCGTGTGCTTTAGATAAGCCCTACTACTGCTGTGAGAAATCTGGTGTTATTTTATAAACTGCGGATTTTCTTATGATTTTATGTATGCTAGCAAAAAATGAGAAAAGGGGGGTCGTATCTGCGCCTGATCTAAATTTCTCCGGAGCTATTGAAGCTTGTTAGCTGCAAACTTGCTGTAATACGAGGCCATCCCTCTAGTTTTTATCGTAAGAATTTCAGGCTGTTTTATAACTTCTCTGGTAAGTTACAAAATTTTAGGCTCAAAAATCCCAGTTTTTGCTTTCTAGGATCGCATCTAAATTTGCGAGAGCCTGATCTAAATTTTTTCGAGCTCACTGCTCCTCAAGGGCTGAAACTTTTTCTATGAATAGTCTGGGCACTATGCTACTGAACCTGTTCTTTGCAGCCTCTCAGTCTTTCCTGGCCTTAGTTACGGATTTTCAAACTACCGTACTCATGCATGCTTTTGACGTCGTTCTAGACGGCGCTAAAGCGGTTTTTTTCGCAGGAAAACTGTGGAAGAGGTAAGAACTGAGCTTCTTAGTCGAAAACATCTCTTGTAGTTCAAGAATGTCATTTTGTTCTCCGTGTAAAAATTTGTATCGCATAAGGAATCAAATTTGCTGGCCTGAAGTATGCCTGAAAATTCAAAAGTAAACTTGCAGAATCTTAAACATTATTTAAGATGTGTATATGTGCTAGAGATGCTGGGCGCACCCATTGGCCTAGAAATTCTGCCTCCGAAATTCCGCTGAAGTTCTCACGCAGGTGTTTTTTGAGATTGACATTAGTTTATGCAGGTTACCGCGAGAAATGTGGGCAGGAGAGGTAAGGGGGGTAGATGGGGGAAGGGGAGGGGGGGAGGGGAGGGGGGGGGGTCGTACGGATGGGTACCTTCAAGGGGGGGGGCGTAAATGAGGGTCCAGGATCGCATCAACACGCTTGACCCTGATTCGCGCATTACTCTGAATTTTTGGGTCACATTTTTTAGAAATTTTGATCGCGCAGTCCTCTAACGCGTATACGCATTCACATGGCTACATTCTCCATAATGACCCACCTTCTTTCCAAGAATCGAGGAGTCGGCCAAAAAGTAATGGAAAGCTGAAAGTGTGTTGAAGAAATTTCAGAACCCTTCCTCGTCTCTCTTTGCTCACGCAGACATTCTTGCTTTCGATTTCACATTGATGTTGTTTTCTTATTCAGTTAGCGGCAATATTCCTGTCACTTTTGCATCTTCGGGCCAATGGACTTGCACTTTGGAATTCTGGAGCAGTAACGTAAGTTATGATATCAATGCTGCCAAGTGTGCTCAGGGTGGTTCACATGAAGTGTGACACAGCAAAAAAATATTATAACTTTGCAGAGACCAAATGAAATCAGAAAGTGTCCTCATCTGATAGAGAAAAAATTCTGTATAAGATCTTCTTAGTCATTTTTTAGGTACTTGTCTCTGGTTTTGGTAAAATCATTTAGTTTCTTTCAATTCTCTACCAAAAATTCTTCGATTTGCGCGCGCTGGTTTTTGGTTCCAACCTCTCAACATTTCTCCTTTTAGCAATTCAAATGGAATGGATTTCAAAGATCAGACTTTTTTCTTTCAAGCACACGGAAAAGAGTATTTGTATGATTAAGGATGGGCGAGCTAGAAGGCCAATCCCAACAGCGTCCATAGTGTTTGCTTTGACCCCAAAAAATACGGTGGCCCTTCAAAATTTGCTTCTGATGCTTTTTTGAGAATTTCGAAAAATTGCGATTTTCGTCGTGATGACGACTGCCGATAACCCATCAAGTTTGATCATGTTTGACTAAGAACTGAAGTCGAGAACAAACACACTGGGACAAAAGTATATGGAGAAGACGAATACTTTCAAAACGTGGAATAAAATAGATTAAAAAAATGGTTTTTTCGCAGCGCTTCAAACTTCATATTTGCCACATATAAACAAACAATGTTTGGCTTTCTGACTCAAACATTCTTGAACTCACAATTCTCTGTTTGTATTATCTGTATCAAAATCCGCTCTTCCAAACCCAGGCCATTAGGTTTGCTAAAGGAGACCTAGTGAGAGCCTAGGATGAAATTTCCGCCAAAAACCGCATTTTGAAAATTTCTCTGAGCAAAGTAAATTCTGTCTCCAAAGGCGGAAGTGGACTTTTCGGAAGTAATCTATAAGGGCTTATACAGAATTTTCTTGTCTATCAGATGAAAATAAAAACGTCAATTTCATTGAGTTTAAGCGAAGTTACGAAGAATTTTGTTCGTCACATTTCATGTGGACCACCCTGTAGATATCGAGTTGATAGCTTTATGCTGCAACCGACGTGGCTGCATAATTGTGACAGCCTAGGACTACGGTATCCTCGTGATACTGCATGCATATAAAAGGAGCAGCGCATCAAACAAAACATCAAAATGCTTTGGTTGCTCTACATTGCAGCTGTGGTTAGCTTCAACTCTCATCCTAAAATTCTAGCAATCAAATTATTTTTCAGCATATCTCCGCATCGTCTGCGTCGAAGGAAGGTGAGTGAATGTCAGAGATAATATCATTGCTGATTCAGCCTCCAAAGGGAGCCTGCTTGGCAGGATGAGTCTTGAGTCATTGAAACAAGTTCTGTATCTGTTGACTGCCTGACAGATTTCACACAACATACTTTTCTTATGTGCCTAATTTGGCCTTTATCCAGCTAGTAGCTTCACTTCCCCTCTACATGGGAAAACCCGTTTTGAGACTATTACAAATGCCCCATTGCACTGTTCGCTTGCATCTGGGAGCAGGCAGCTCATGATATATCATCCTAAACAAGCAACAACAACAATCGAAATGCCATTCATCCACATTCAGTTTGAGGTTCGAGATTATCTAGATTGTGCAGGAACGAACAAGCAGATATCTGAACAGAACTTTTCAAAATGTGAGGCAGTTCTCAATCTCGTCCCACCTGGTCGAGGAAACGTTTCTTCACCTGAACTGCGTGTGCACATTTTAAATTTGGTAAACTCGATGAACAATCAATCTCAGACTTCTACCTATTGATATACGAAGATTACATGCTTGCCTGATAAGCAAAATACACTACTGGCACAAGTTTACCCGATTTAAAGTAGCCGACGGAGTTCTGTAGCGTGTCAGGGTCACATATGATGCCAGAAAACGATTGTTGAGGTAAAGACCACATCTGATAATGACCGCTGTTGAGCATGACCATCATCATCAAAAGCCTTCTCCTAGTTTACGAAACTTCATTTACTCCAATATAAGCTACATATTGAATTTGAGACTCAATTAGCATATGCAACTGCATTACGGTATCGCTTGTACAAAGGTAGCTGATACAGCACTTTTTTATTTTAGGGTGAACGAAAGCTTTTGGTGCACCTAGTCAGTGTCAATTTTGCGCAAATTTGGACGCAAACGGTTTTGAATTGAATTTTGAAATTTTTGAATTTTTGAATTTTCACAAATCCGTTTTGTAAAATAATCCTTTCATGATTAACTTCAAAAGAGTAGCAACACAACTTTTATAAGTTGATCTAGCTGGGCTCACTTTCATTATGTTCAAATACAGTAAGTTTCAATGGACTGCCACAATGCTCGCAGCCTTCGGCGGATTAAGCGAGATGCCCTTAACTTTAATTGCTTCTTCAAGCGAAACAGATGAATGGATGAAATCATAGAAAAACAGCCGAAGTCTAAGTGTATAAGCCCATCAACGTGTGTTGCGCAAAGTGTGTTGCGATTACCACAACAGCTAGAAAGAAGCTGTTCTTTATGCATTCATAAATTGTGTGGGCTTTCGATAACATCAGTACTAAGAGGGTTCAAAGGAAAACGTTCAGAAGTACGACAGTTTAAGCAGGGTTCTTACAAAAGGCATAGCACTAGGATAAGAATTGTTATCTGTTCCTTCATCACAAATCCTTTTTGCTCGATTTCTGAGATGCGTTTTGTTTGAAGGATGCAGGAGGGAGCAGCAAAGTGCTGCCACAAAAGCAGTGTTTGCTTTCTGAATTGACCTAACACTGCTGCCTAACTATCATATTTCCTTACTTATGTACAAGAGATGATACTTTTTAAAACGTCATGGAACTCTATTCGCTTTACAAGTCGCTGCTGTTAATTATCTTTTCGTAGCTAGATATAGTAAGAGTGATCCAGCAATAGAGCACCTAGAAAATATATGCGGCTTTCTTAAACAGGAATTCTAATTGGAAGACCAAGTTTTTGCAGTTATTAGTACACGACAAAACCTACTGAATAGCAAAATAGCAACGCTTTCGCTTCATAACAGATGCTCAAGCGTAACATTCTATGAATTGGCCACCGGGGACGAAGCTTCCAAAAATAGCTAATCAAAATTTGCGATTTTAAGTTTGGTGCTAGAAAATAGCGGAGAGACGCCAGCTTGCCCAAAATGTAGTAACACAGTTTTAGCCACCTTATGCCTGTTTAGAGCACTGTGACGCTTTTCGAAGCATCAAAATGTGTTTCTCTGAAGAAACTGCAGCAACAAGAGGATTTTTCATGTAGAATGTTTGAGTTTCCATACGAGTTTGGGCGAGCTAGCGTCCCTTCGCGATTTTCTAGCACCAAACTAAAATCGCGAATTCAATTAGCTGTTTTTGGAAGCTTCGTTTTCTGTGGCTAATTCATGGAATGTTAGGTTAGAGCATCTATTATGAAGTGGAAGCCTTGCGGTATTCTTAAAACACTGGATCATGAGTTTAGGTTTGACATTTAAAAAGTTATTGCTTTTTGCTTGAATTAAGACAGAACTTTTGCACCAACCTAATCTTCTCCTATAATATAAACCCAATGAAAAGAAACGTGACGGCTGGAATGGTCCGCCCACTGTATGGCTTTAACGTTTGTTTTGAATAGACGCCAGAGACAGAACAGTGCCGTATTGTTGAGAGAGCGCGACGGTGTAATGATGAGGACAAGAGGACGCGGAGGTCCTAGCGCGAACGAGAGCTAACGACACGCAGGGTGCGCTCTGTTGCTGCGATAGTTATGTTGAAAAACGCAGTCGCGTGCCAAGTGTGTTGAAATATGCAAATGGTGATCGTTGCGAAAGTTAGGTATAGTATCAACCCTTTATTGATCCGCTCACATCCCATCTCTGTATCCGTTATGCTCTCTTCGTTTTTCAAGCTCTTCCCGTTTATGTCAGCTAAGCTATTTTTGAAACTATTTTTTCACTTTTCGGTCAAATTTTGAAAGAATCTCTGAAAATCTCGAGTTTGGGAGCTGTTGCTCCGAATGAATTCAATTTTTCTATCCAACATGTGAGCGTGCAAGAATGACATTGTGGAAGGCAGCTGTACAGTGATCCTCGGAGCAAAACACTCTTTTGGAACGATATGGTCCTCTTTCCGCCCATATTTTGTGAAAATCTCCAAAAATCTAGCTTCTCAGAGCGGTTGCTGTGCTTGAATTCAATTCTTCTCTCCAATTTGTGACCGCGAGTGCAAGACTGACATTGTGGAAGGCAACTGTACAGTGACTTTCAGAGCAAAACGCTATTTTAGGACGATATGATCCACTTCCCGCCCATATTTTGTGAAAATCTCCGAAAATCTCGCTTCTGAGAGCAGTTGCTGTGCTTGATTTCGATTTTTCTCTCCAATATGTGAGCGTGAGTGCAAGACTGACATTGTGGAAGGCAACTGTACAGTGACTTTCAGAGCAAAACGCTATTTTAGGACGATATGATCCACTTCCCGCCCATATTTTGTGAAAATCTCCGAAAATCTCGCTTCTGAGAGCAGTTGCTCTGCTTGATTTCGATTTTTCTCTCCAATATGTGAGCGTGAGTGCAAGACTGACATTGTGGAAGGGAACTGTACAGTGACCCTCACCGAAGAAGGAATTGGTCGAAGCAAAGTTGTCATATGAAATGTTTACTGCAGAGAGCATCAGGGAACGAGAGCAGAGCATAAAATAAGCATGGAACTCTGATTCCAAATGTGCTTTCGTTATCTGCAAAGTGCTTCTCTGAGAGGAGTTATGGAAATTTTTTGAGGAAAAAATTCAAGGGTACGGCTAAGGTAAAAACGGATGTTGAGGTCTTTCCGGCGATTGAGAGGAGTAATGACTGGGTTGAATTTATTAGACTGAAGGTATTGACTGCATAAAGCGTCTGGCAATAATCATGACCCCATTTGAGGTTTAAGAGTACGGTTTTAGATGATTTTATTTTAGCCGCGCGTTCAAATTTTTGCTTCAAAAACTCCCGTAACTCCTCTCAGATGCGCTTTGCAGATAAATTCAAAATGTATCTGATGTGGAAACGCCACTTCAACCAAGTATTCCTCCCTTATCAGAGCAGAACACTATTTGAGAACGATGTTATTCACTTTCCGGTAAAATTGTGAGGAAATTTCCGAAGCTCTCGCTTTGAGCGGTTGCGGCAATACATATGCTAATAAATTGAACATTTATTTGGGAAAATTATAGGATTAAAACAGCTTTTATTTAATGTTTGCCCCAACCCGCTTGCTAACGACCCGTAGGGTTGCTAGTCTTATGTATAAAGCTGAATGTCTGTCTGTATGTTTGTAGGTATGGTTTCGAATAGAAAATTTTATTTCTCAACCGATCCGGATAAAACTTGGCACAAATACACTCGGGGCCGGGCGGGTGTCATAGGCTACTTTTCATCATCGATCGATATCGATTTTATCACTTTTTATCGATTTTTTGTCAAGTTTGATCCATGGGGCTGGATAGCACAGGGGGTAATCGAGCGTGCTGATTACGAATACAATATTAGTTTTTATGAGTTTCCATTACTTTTATCAATTTTATTAATTTTTTCGCAAAGTTTGAGCTACAGGGTTGGGAGTTGCCACAGGAGGGTTACGTTTGTGAGCATAGGCGCAAAAGGTGGAGCAGCGGCTTTGCGCCTCCTCACTCTCGGTCGATATCTGGATGACTCCCTTCACCTAAGGTTCAGACCATAGTTGCGATAGGGGGAGTGATGGATCTTACCCCCTTCACTTTGAGGCCAAACTCCCGATGACCCCCTTCACCTGGGCTGAGATTGGTATTGTACTCTGAGAATATGATAAAAATCGTTATTAAAAGGTTTTGCAGTCTAAGTACCTCGAACAACAAGCACACTCATGAATTTACTAAAGTAACGGTATTTATATTTATTTATATTATTTATTTATCCTCGTAGCATTCATTTGGAGAGCAGAATGTGAGGGCACAAAATCAGTTAATTTTTGAAGCACATAAAATCCCTCATATCTCGCGACACAGAAGACCTAGAAAAGAGTCGACGGTCTACGTCGATTCTCCATGATCTCAGCTTTCGAATGGTATACAGCATGTTAGGGCTTCTTTGCTTCCCGGCTCTAAAAATCATTTGCTCCGGTAACCGATAAAAGCCAATACATTGGTGGAGCCGGATTGGAGCAAGCAAATAGTAAATATCTCCACCCCATTTTTGAAAACTGGTCTGTTTTTTCGCCCAGCAACCTTTATACCATTCGAAAGCTCAGGAAAAGGGGAT